TTGCCAGAAGTTACATATTCTGGTGCTAACAAAACCTACACCGATGAATTCTTTCCCTATAAGCTCCTTCACAGGACATCCCCCAGCTGCAACAGCATTTCTGTCTCATAACCACAGAACTTCTGAGCCCAAAGGCCCTTGAAGTTCCATGTTCCCACCCCTGCTGTTTGCAGGTGCCCTCACAGATGTGCAGAAGGTGCTGCTGTTGTCAACACACAGACAAGAGAGCTACAAAGCACTCTTTGATTTTGAAGTAATTTTATATACAGTTACTATACGTAAAGAATAAAAGACGTTCTAGAACTCAGATATTATCCTTCTGCCTGCAAGTTTTATAGGTATAAATGCAGGTTCCTAAATGCAGATGAGTCTTTTGCTAACAAATCCTTCACATGTGTTTCTCAGCTAAGCCACAACCACATTCCAATCATCAAGCACACAAAAATTTGTCTTCACAAACCATTCTGAACAACACCACTGACATGCAGAATTTTGAGTTTCATAATGAAGCATCCAATTTAATTCTCTTCTATCTGATGTCAACATTAACTAAGAATTAACACAATAATAAAAGAATTGTGCTTGGCTGTCTCATTGACATAAAAATAAACAAGTGACAACATGGTGAGATTAAAAAATAACACTTATGAGACATCAGATTACTTTGCAGACGCTAACAAAACACAAAATAGTAGTGTAATTTACAAAGAGAGAAAAACGCGGTGCGTTTCGAGGTGAAAAAGAGAAATACGTACTTTTTAAGCTTTATATTTTTATTTAGAAAATCACGACGAACTCAAAACACCAACTTTAGGGAAGGGCCACTACAAAGCGGAAGCTCCTGGTGTAACACACATTTGTAACATAATACCGGGATACACAAGTCCCAGCAGGGAAGGCACGGGGAGACCGAGCTGCGGCTGAGCTCTGACATCCCCGGCAGCGCCAGAAAGCAAAACGCAAACCCTTGGGCTCTGCAAAATCTTGCCTGAGAGCGAACCCTCATTAACGCTGCCAGAGGCTGTTCCGCGTTCCCCTCGCCCATCAAACCCCCGCTGCTGCGGCCGCTCACGGACACCTGTGGGGACCACGGGCACCCGCGGGCAGGGGCAAGCCTCTCAAAGGAATCCCGTGTGGAATCCTGCGTGGAATCCCTGCACGGGCTCCCCATGGCAGAGAGACCCTCCCAGTGCCGTGAGACGGCGCTGCGACCCCTCAGCGCCCTGCGGCCATCCCGGTCAGACACGGCGCCGCTCGGCCCCCGGAGCCCCCGGCCGCGCTCCCCACTCCCCTCAGGCGCAGCCCCCGCGGCCGCGCCCCCCCGTCGGGCCTCCCTCAGCGCTCGGGGCCTGCCCGTCCGGCCCCGCGCCGCGCTGCCGCAGACACCCGCCCCGGGATCTCCCCCCGGAGCTCCCCGCAGGGACTCACCTCGACGAGCTCGCAGCGGCCCGGCGCGAAGCGGATCCGCAGCTCTTTCTCCCGGCCGACCATGGCCGGGCCTGCTGCCGCTCCTGCCCCGCGCCCGGCGCCGCGACACGGGCTGGGCGATAGGGGGCGCCCGAGCCCCCCAGCGCCACGCACGCGCCCCCCGCCGCCGCGCGCTCATTGGCGGAGGGGCGAGGAGGGGCGGGGCCGGGGCAGAGGGGCGGGGCTTCGTGAACCCGGAGTGAGGAGCGGGAGCCCACGCGGAGCGGTGGGATATGGATCGTCCCCAACACCAAAAAAGCGGCTTTTTTATAAAATACACGGCCCACGGCACGCGCTTTAGCAGGGACACACCTCCTCTCCCTAAAACCTATAAGCATACTGGCAACAGCTCTTGGATTTTAGGAAACCAGCCCCGTTCGCCCATTACTGGTGTTGATTTTCTCGGCGTGGAGGCGGAAGAGGGAGTGAGCTGGAGTGTAACCGGGCTGCCTCAGCTGCAGGCTGGCTCCTGTTTTCATCGTGTTTATGGTGCTTCAAGCAGTAAATAAAGTTATTGCAGTAATCACCTGTCTGACCTTCAGTAATACCAAGTTCGCCTACTGAAACTGTGATCTTCCCATTGTGATCTTTCACTTGGGGAACTTTATCATTGGACCAAAATATCTTATTTGGCTGCCAGAACATTCCCCTTAATATAGCTCTGACACAAGCACTAGAAGTTACTTCATTTCTCCTTTTAGAATGATAGAAAATAATAAGCATTTTCAATTTGCCTTTATCCTGAGTTTGATCTAAAGCCAACAGGTAAACCCCACAGAGAAGGTGAAGCTGCCTTTGAGAAAGCAACGACTGCTTATGGTACACATCCCACGTATAAAACTTTATGCTTACATCATGAAAGACTTGGTTTTCTTTGATGCAAGTTTTGAAAGTAACAGGAATCTGTATACAAAGTATTGCTGTGCCATTTCTGACCCCCAAAGGCAGAGATGGTGCCTGGCATTCTTTTAAACAACAGAACTAAAGTTAAGTGGGTACATAAGAATTAGTGGCCAAGACTCACTTTAGCTACATTCACACTGACATCTGCCCCCGATGAATTCAACTCGATTAAAGCAGTATTTAATTGGTAGTAGTCAAGGAGGGAAACCAGCTGATACTAACACACAGTTGAATAGAAATCGGAAAAATCTACCAGATTAATAGAATCATGCTAAAATTTAATAGTATTATATTGTAAATGACCTTTAGTTATGACAAACAACTAATATTCACAGGACAAAAAAGTGAGATAGATATATATATATATATATAAAACTACTTGAGGCAGTTTCTGCCTTCTTGTAATGCAGATGCCTTTTTTTTTCCTTGTAACAATCTACTGACATTTAATTCTCTTTCATTCAACTTAGAATTCTATTTTAAAATAACAGTAATTCATAACTTCAAATCCAGAAGAAAAATCTACAAAGAAATACCAAACTGCTCAGCAGCTCTGAGGTAACATCAATCCCACATCACTTCCTCCCAACATGGACTGTGCATCTTAACAAAAACCATGACATGGAAATGAAAATTTTGCCTTCTAGGCTTAAAGCAAGAGAAAAATACGGAAAGCATGAACACTGAAGCCTCAAGCTAAAAGCAAAAATCAGCATGTAAAATATCTTCATTTTTTTGTCAACAATATCAATTACAAAAACTACGTATAATTTGTTATCTTCCTTGCATAATATAATCTATTTTTTTCATCAAATATTTACCTGGATTCAGTAGTGTTCTACCTATACTTCCAATTTCTTTACTGTCATTACATTCACTTTGTGAAACACTCTGATTTCATGGAACAGCTAAACAAAAATTATATTGTTGTCTGTATCACAATCATTCAAGCACAATGCACCCCGGGTGACTCAATGGACCATTCCTTAAATTAACCTTTCAGACTGTAATTCACAGAGACTAAAGAGTAATTAAGTGTCTTTTTCTCCCCTCCTGTTTCTGCTCCCTTAGATTCTGTAATCAAAGTGTGGCAGCATCATATTAATGCAAATATCCAGAGTCTTACCTGCTCCATTCCCACCAGCATTTCAGGCATTGCCTCAAACTCCAGAGGGAATCACCAGCCTAGGGAATTATTGCAGTTCACCTGTGCTCTTGTCCCTTTGTGAGCTGTGCCTGCACAGAGCACACGCCCTGGAAGCAGCAATGGCTCTGCTGACCTTTGGAACCCAAACACTGATTCAAGCCCTGCATCACGTGTGGCTCAGAATCCTGTTAAGCTTTTGGTCTGGTCCCAGTGGTACCATTTAAGCAGCTCAGTGGGAGCCTAAACTTTTACTTCATAAGAGGCAGCAGGAGCAGGCAGAGCCATTGTGTGTATAAAATTCATTCAAAGCACTGGCACTGAGTCTTACACAGTTTTCCTTTTATAGGAAACAGGAGGAGGGCTCTAATTAGGTCAGGCAGGTTGAGGATTCTAACAGCTCTTCATTTTACATTTCAACCAAGCACACCACAGCCCCTGCTACAATACAGCATGATGAATGATCAGAGAAATAACTTCTTGTTAAATTATGGATTTTTCAATTAAAAAAAGTTCCCCAGATGAAAGTAATGGATTTGTGCAGTTGAGCTACCACTGTCAAGGTTCCAGTTTTATTACAAACTTTATTTGATATGTGCACAAAACTGGCAAAGCCTCCTTGACTGAAGTTGACTGGATTTCCCCTTTGTTTCCACACCTTTGCTTCTCTCCCCAGAGTGTTCTACATGATTCATCAGCATTTTAAAGCTCGAGGATCACCATTGGTGGAAGGTGGCAGAAGGATTTGCCGGAGTTTCCTTGTTCTTCTGCCAGTATAAGCAGCTCCTGGCAGCTCTAGCTGTAGCAACCATAAAAGACCAGTCCTGTGACTTCACTTGGAATATCACACCCTTTGTCAAACTCTTTCTAACTTGATGCACTGTAAACTCACAGTGTCAGAATAAATGGCAACATATGCTACATGCTGAGTTTTGGGTACTGCCTGAGCAGCTCCTTGGAGCAGGATAGGAGCAGATATAATAACAAGTTAAGTTCTGGATTTTCCTTTTAACCTTTCAGTTAAGTTCAGGATTTCCTTCTGTGTTAAGAGAAACTCAGAGGAGAGGATAAGAGAATTGCAGGTCGTAGTTACTGTACAGTTTAACTAAATAATTTTCCTAAGACCAGAGAACATGTTGCTTTTGAGGCAAGAATGACACTGGGCTGTGTTACAAAGATAAGATTAGAACAAAGAAAATTAGGTAAGTCACACTGCTTTGGCTTTTATCCTTGGCTTGGGAAGGAAGTAGACAGATTCTTTATTTCAAAAATTTTATTGTGCTAAAACATGCTTAATTTTAGATGCAGTTTAACAGATTCTTTGCCCCTTGCCAAGATTCAAGTCTATACAATGCCTGCATGTGCAGTGGGTACCCTCCCACCCAACTGAGACAAGTTGTGTTGTTATTCCCTGTCACAATTCCAAGAGTTAGTTGAAGCAGGCTGTTGCAGTCTTCTGTAGCATACAAATTTATCAGTACTTTACTTTTCTTAATACCAAGAAGGCATTAAATTTTGTTTTTATTACCTGCAATGGAAAAATGTTACTAAGTTTGTGTTTTTCACTATTGCTCTCACCACATCGTTACTTATCTGCTGGGGAGTAGAAGGCACTACACTCCATCTGACAGAACCACCAGGATTTCAGATCCCAGAACAGACTCTCTAATGCAGGTCTGGTTCCCACACTCTCTCCCATCCTGCTTCCCTTAGTGCACCTCTATGCTCTCTCCATCTTTTCCTCCACTCCACATTTATCTGCAGGCCTTTTGCATCTTTCCTTGACACCTACAGTAGCCTAAGGTCCTGACAAGTAGCAGCTAAAGAACCAAGGCACAGAACTCTGCCTGAGCCACTTGTAACTCACATCCTCATGCAGGGAACACTGCCTGACCCCCCATCAGTTGTACCAGGAGCTGGGTGACAGGAGGAAAATGGCTCTGCTGTCTTACCCAGCACAGCACCTGCTCAGGTCAGCAAGGACCTGGCCTGGAAAGCACAACAGCAAACTGCACACTGGGAGTGCCCCAATGATGCAGCTTCCAACATCTGCTGTGAAACAAGGGAGATGCCATTCTCCTTCCTTCCCCAAATGTAGCAGATTGTGCAAGGCTCTCACACCTTCTTTGGGTAAGTTTAAGGACAAAGACTTGGCTACATCAGTATCTAAACCTACCTTCTTTAAGAGGGGTTTTTGGAGGAATATTCTCCTTGCTATCATACTGGAAAGCTTTGGAAGGATCCAAGTGCTTGGTGCCCTGGACTGTGCACAGCTGCTCCTGAAGGTGTCTGTTGGTCTCCTTTTCCTTGGATAGCAGCGCACGCAGTTTGGAGATATCCTACAGAAAACATCATACTTGGAAGTTAGATTAAGAACAGAAGAGCCTGCTTCATCATTTACTAAAGAGCCATTTTGCCTTATGACAAACATAATACACAATTGCTAGTGCCATTAAAACCCCAACACAAACACAGAGGTGCAGAGAAACCAGCAGCACTGTATAGTGGCTGTGCAACACCACTAAGCAGTACATTAGTCTGAAACTTTCAGCAGCTAGTTTACTAAGTTTGGAACCTCCAAAGGAGGTAAGAAAAGCCAACTAAACTAAGAGTGGGAGTAGTTATTTGCACTGCTGATCCTTCTGTTATGCCATACACTCAGTCAAAAATAAAACAGGTTCTCTTGGTGTTTCTGGAGGCTGGTGGTTTGTTTTAATCTGGTTCACACAGGGAATTTAAGAATCATAGGAAGTAAGGAGCTTGTAGGATTAGTCTATAAATATTTAGAGCAATAAGAGACATCAGGAACATAAATAGCTTGCAGGTTTTTAATTTTTAATTTCACAAACCTGCTTCAGGTGGTTATTCTCTTCCTTCAGCTTCATAACATGCTTGATTTTTTGCTTCTGGTTCTGGTGGCCAAGTAGTTTAGCATAGGCATCACTTAGTTTATTCAGTTCTTCCTGAGCTGCACCATGCTCCTGTAGGATTGCATTCTTCTCTGCTTCAAATGCATTGAGTTGTTGCTGAAGTACAAATTGAATCTCTTAGAAATCTTTTAATTAAACACAGCTTTTTACTAAACTGAGATCTACATAGGAAGACTGGTTTGGGAAGGGGACTAGCTGGCTCCGTGCATAGTAACTTGGGAAACCACTGCAGGATAAATGCCTTGCAATGAGAAGTAGCATGTTTACTTCTCAAAAGCAGAACTTGAGCCAACTGCAAAAGTCTTCAGTGAACAGATACTAACACACACCTACTTCCCAACACACCTGAAAAGGCTTAGTTTTGTTATACAAGTCTTCATATAGATTATACCAGGTCTCGATCTCTTTTTTTAAGCTTGAGATCTTATCTTCATTTATGGAGTTCCTAAAAAGCAAGAAGTGAAGTTTCATTATGCTCATGGTTAACTCTCCGAACTTCTTCCCAATATAACTTGGACGTGCCATAATATGCAGGGTTAGTTTGAGAAAGTTACCTTGACCTTTCTGCTTCAAGTTCCCTTTTCAGTTCTTCAGTTTGCTCTTCCAGTTTTTCCTCAAGTTTAGTGATTTGCGCAAGACAAGACTCTTTTGTTCTCTCTGTTTCTGCTTCTTTTAGTGCAAGCTTGGTCTGGGCTTCTAAAAGCATCCTGAGGAAGATATCATTCCTTAATGAACCCTTAAATATATATATTTTTTTTACACAACTCTAAATCTGGAAACACAAGTAACCACGACTGAAAAGGTGTCTGTAGAACTGAAATAGAGATTTGCACAAACAGTGCCACAGAGAGAACAACACTACAGAAAGCAATCAAGTTTAATATGTATAATAATTAACTTCTCCAATGAGGAAGCAAGCACTGTTTCTGAAGCAAGGAAAGATAATGTTTCTCATTTATGGCTGTTCAATGCCAACAGCTTTTTGCAGAGATAGTTTATTAGGCTTTATATACAGAGACTTGCTCAGGCAGAAAACAATCTGTTCAGTGTGGGTGCACCTCAAGATTTTAAAAGCCTTACACCTAAAAGCACTGTCTCCCCTCTTCAGCCTCAGCTGTTTGTCCCATCAACCAGGTGGAGACAAGGAAATCCTTCCCAGGGTTTCTTAACACTCAACCAGCAAATCAAACAAAATAGCCAGAGGACACGGACCACTAAACTGTTGTTAGATAGTCAGAGAAGCGTATTCTCAGCTAGTGGCCTAACACAACTTCTTGGGTGTTAGTTCTTGTAACTGTGGTGCCTCATATTAGGCAGAGAGGACCTGGTTGTACGTCACCAGTGTGGCAATTCACGGATGGTTAAATGGCATCTGCTTTGAGCACAATTTGAGGTGACACATCATTCAGAGCAGAGTGACAAAGAGTGAGCTCTGCATTAAGTATTTGTTTGTCTGCCCTGTGGATCTTATCTGTGGAGCAGTCACTGTAACTGATATTTCTGAAAATTATAATATTCCAGCATATTTCATTCAAGTATTTTCCTTTTCCTCTATGTTCTGCATATAGGCAAAACTCAAAAGAACTGATTCAACCTTTTGCACTGGGAAAACCAGAAACTCCAGTTTATACCAAATGCTGATCTTATCTAGTAGAGCACCACACTAAGTTCTAGTTAGAAAGGCAAGCCTTAGTTTGCATTATTTAGCTTAAGGAAGACTGACTGTAGTACCTTGCACATTCTTCTTTTGCTTTGTTTTTAGCGTATTCTGCTTCCTGAAGCAACTGCAGATTCTCTTGGCCTACTTTTTTTAGGTCGGCAACTGCTTCTTGCAGAGAGGTATTCTCCAGTTTAAGACAGCGTATTTCTTCAGCTGTTGTCTTCTTGTAGCTGATATTACAAGGCAAATAAGAAAAATCTTGTTACTTCAGGCAAAATGCAGATTGACACATTCAGACCTCACAAGAACAATACAAGCTCATGCTGACAAGTGCCAAAGATTTTATAATTTGAAGATACTGCAGTGTTCTGGCACTGATAAATCCAAAGGTAAAAAGCAAGCCACAATACAGTTCCATAAAGCCACAAACACTAACAAATTCTGTGATACAGATATTTTCATCTTTTTGTAGACATTTTAAAATACAAAAAACCCTGCTGTATCTGAAGCTTATTTTAAACACCAGAAGATCTACTGTCTGCAGCTCACATGGGCAAATATCCCACTGGATCCTTCATAGGTGCCATGCATACCTAGGAATTACAGTACCACTTTTTACATACTTCCATAATCTGGATATTTTGAGATAACATATTTGCAAGAAACGTAGGAAACCAGACTTTAATTCAGCCCAAGTTTGAAGCAGTCTTTTTGCAAGACATTTCAGTGCAAAGAGAACACCATCACTAGTTACAACTCTTATTCTGATTCAAGAGCACTTAGCTACTCCAATTGGTTACATTTCGGAAGAAGAAACATCCAGTTTGCTGAATTACATACTCAGTATGTCGTTTTACTCACCTAACACTCAAGGAATAAATTCTTAATGCCATCAAATACTTCAAAATCCTCTGCTCTAATGCCAACACTCATATACAGTGTGAAGTACCAAGGCATGTGAATGGACAGTGTCATCCTAGAGATAATCCCTGTCCTGTATCTTAAACTTAAATACCTTTCAAAGTCAGCAACAGTCTCTCCAAGTTTCTGCAGCGCATTCCTGTGCTCTTCTTGGATTTGCAATATAGCACTCCTATGAATTGCATTGATTTGCTCCAACTCAGCATTCTTCCTGAAATAAAAATTCAGCATTCCGCACTGGAGAGAAGCATCTGAACACATTACCAAATGCTCTTATCAGTTACACAAGGCTTGCAGTGGCAGCAATCAATTAGTTGTGACAAACCACTAGCTCCTCACGTACTGAAGCACAATCTTCACAGCAGATCTAACTTAGCATTTCCCCCTCCCCATATTTTCCAAGACAGCTATAGGATAGATTAAACCCTTAATAGTAAATTTCTAATACATGGAATGAAGAAATAAGTGGCTTGAAAGTCTTTTCTAGTCATTGCCCTCTCCAGGGCAGGGCAGAAACACCCAATACAACAAGCACTCAGTTTACCCTGCATAGCAAGGACATAGCACTGCAATACCAGCCTTAAAAGCAAATCTCCACAAGCTAATTGTTTTAAATAAAGACAATGTAGAACTGATTCAAGTTGTTATTCATAGTGACAAGATCTAATCACTATCAATATTCAACAACCAGCAAGAAATAACCCTAGGCCTGTCCAGGTCTCTAAAACCTGAACTGGGCTCAGAAGCTTTGTTTGTACTACTGATTTAACATTTTTCCTTTCAAAGTTTTAGAAACTGAAAGTTTTTTGCAAACCTTTTCAACTTTTTTTCCATCTGTGCAAGTTCAAGACCTTGAGATTTGTTTTCTTGTTCCAATTGCTTCACCAGTTTTTCAGCTTTCTTCTCCTTTGCATGTAATTTATTCAGTTCATTCATGGTATCATTCAGCTCTTCTTCAATAAGAAGTCTCTCCCTTGTTACCTCATCCTGCAACTCCAATAACTTCTGTTGTGTTGATGCAGATGACTCCTGCATGCCAGAATACCACAGATTTCAAAACTTATAATACTTTTCTAGATAGTAAAGGCTAATTTGCTGTGTTTAAACTTCATAGCACAAGAATAAGGTCAAATCTACAGGAAGAACCATCACACCAGCACTGATTCTTAGACCTATTGGACCACACACAGTTTCTGCTGGCCAGCCCCCACATGTACATTCCAATGATGAGACCATTATTAATACAACATCTCATGCAGAACCTAAACCAGAAACTTTAGTGCCAGTCCTTGGGACTAGAGTTTATCTTTAGATTCATTTATAGTCTGTATTTACCTTCTCTTGCTGCAGCTGAGAGACAACCTCCTCATGTTTCTGAAGCAGTTTTTGGTGTTGTTCTTCCTTCAAGGCAATTTTTTTTTTCAGGTCTTCTATTTCAGCATTCATACTCAGGAACTTTCCTCTGGTCTCAGACAACTCCTTCTCTGCACAGAGAAACTGTCAATATAACACAAGCTCTCTTCTCCATTTTCAAAGAACTACAGTACCTGTTCTTCATAGTACTTCCATTCCAGCTTTAAAGTTAATTTGGCAAGGGAAAACAAACAAACAAAATTGCTCCAAGCAAAACAAACCCACATCTTAAACCCATATGGACACTCCTCAAAATTGGCTCCAAGTACATCACTTGAAAATAATTTTAACATCAGGAATGTTTGGATCAAGCAATTAGCCTTCATCAGAACAGCAGTATGGCTGAAGAAAAACAACTCCATGATTTCCCCAAAGCTTCTTTCACACAGTACTAGCACACAGAAGCCAACTAGTACAGAGAACTGAGGACCTGTCTTACATTGCAGAGTTGGTGGTGTTGGAAGAGAAGGGGTAAGGAGGTGAAGGATCTTTGACACACTGCCAGTACCTCAATGAACCTGTGCACAAGCTGCTAGCAGTGACTTCACACATTATCCTGCTTCTCAGTGAAGAGTAAGGAGCAAGAACTCCTTAGTGGTCACCTTTCAGATTAAAGCCACTCCTACTACACAAACTATTTTCATTCCATACTGTTTACCTAAGTAAGCCGCCATGGAAACACCAAATCAGACTTAACAGATGTCAGATGTGAGGTCATTTCCCCCCTGTTAAAAACATGTCCAGCTGCTTTCAGCTGGAGCTCAGAGATTCGACTTTTAACTTGGAACAAACCAGTCTAAGCTGATATTTTAGAACAAACCTATTTGAGATGATTTAAGATATGTCCATCATCCTACATATGGAAGAGCTAGAAATTACCTTTTTCTTGTTGAAGGAACTGAGACGTTTCATTAAGTTCTTTCATCACTTTACATGATTCCTCTTTTGTTTTGAGGATTTCCCTCAGGCTCTCGATATCTTGGTCTTTCTTAATCAGTGTCTCCTTCATCTGAGCAATATCTAGTTTGTATTTCTCAGCTGTTTCTGCAACACTACTGTAGGAGAAAATTCAGGCACTTGTTACTACTAAATTTTATTTGCAAACTTCAACACAAAGGAAAAATGCTTAGGACTGCTGGTTTCCAACAGGAAAGCTGCTTTCACCTACTTTTCCATACACAAGTTTTTGCGCTGTAAGACTGGTTTACACGGACATAGAAGTCTTTCACAGTATTGCTCAGCCCAGAAAAGCACAGGGGCATTCAGAATAATAATATCTTACAATTCCTTTCCATTACGTGGAAAAATACCTGCTTTCTTTCCCCTCCTCTATAATTATTGCCAAGGTTCTACTTCACCAGTCATAAGTGAGGCTTAATTTTACCACCTTTTAACTTACCCCAGCCAACTTGAGAACAATTTGTTGGTACCTGAGCTCTGTGATGTATTCCAGGAGTTTTTCAGTGTCAGACTTCTCTTCAACTTTCTCTCTCTCAGTAGCAGACCTAAAACCAGGAAGTTTTTATGATGGATGCATTTAAGCAAATTCAGAGCTACACAGTAACACATACTTTTCATAGTCCAGTTTAGCTGACAAACTGGTATTGGCTCTAAGTGGGGATTCTACCCTCTTTTAATACTTGTTCCATGTGGTCTTCTCATCTGCACTAAAGATGCTGACCCATATTCTGCCACAAACATCATAATGCATAAACATAATGCAGCTGTTGTAGCAAATGAGAATTTCCTCCCTTTGTGACCTGCACTACCTGCATTACGAGCTTTGTGTATTTTAACATTCAAGTTGTGCTGCAGTGCCAATCATGCAAAACTGGCAAGAGTTCATCCTTCATAGATCACCATCCTCAGCAAAAACCTACACACAGTGTTCCTGTGCAGCCAGTGACTGAATTCTGAATCAACACTTCTTCTTCTGCCCAAATAATGTCTACACAGAGCTGCTGAAGCCAAGCCACTCTGCAGTTGTGTTTGTTCAGAGAATGTGTCTACAACAAAGCAACTGTGAAGGCACCACAGCAGCTCTTCAGTGCCCCTCTCTGGAGAACATGCACATGTCCAGGGATTCTGTGTGAAATGCCTGGCTGCTCAGTTAGGATTTCAGCTCCTGTTCTAATGCTTTTCATTCTTGCTTATTCCTAACTTAGTAGTCTAAAGAGCCAGAAGCATCCCACCTACATGAATGTCTTGCTCCAAGGTTAACAATAATTCTGAAGACTTATGTGTTTCCTCCCCATCCCATACCCAAGAAAATTTCCCCCATACCACACCGGAAGGGTTGAGATGATACAGTCTGCCTTTTGGAAATACACTAAAGGAACAATGTTTTGTAGAGTCATTTCATAAGAACACAGCAGTTCTTAGAACTTCATTCCACCACGTTTTTTACAGGTTACCAACACTGATAGTGTCTGCTCCTTCTCAGCAGGGAGACAGCCTCTATTTTGCTTACTCTAAGGGATAAGCAAGGAAGCAGTTAGGTGGTGTCAACTAAGTAAATTCCCTTCCTGCTACTTACAGTTTTTCTTCTAACTGTGCTACTTTTCCTTTTGAATGCTCTAGATTCCTTTGCACTTCCTGCAGCTTCATTTCCATGTTTTCCTGCTTTGCAAGTGCAGACTTTAAAAAAAAGACACATATTAACATTAAAATGAGATTTAGTAAAAAACACCAAATCTATTGGTTAAGAGACAGTGATAACTTGAAACCAATTCCTCACTACAGATTAATGATATCACCTGATATTATGCTTAATGTGATTCCAAGTATCCCTCTGTAAAGATATCAGCCATTTATTAGAACAACCACTATCACCAGAAAAATACAAACATATAGGAGCTTCAAAATATACTTACAATCACTGGTTTTCAAAGAGATTCATAGTGTGACCAGACTGGTATTAATACTACCATAAATAATAATATCAGAGGTATTTCTATGCTTCCTAATTTGAACTCAGATTTACTCTGCAGATCAGCAAAATCAAGAACATTCATCAGCTGATCTTTCATTCCCTATTTTCACTCTACAGAAAGTGGAGGAAGCTTCCAAGTTGAGGACAGACACAACACATGATCTGCAGTTCTGTGCTAAGCCTTTCATTCTTTGTTCCTCAACAGCTCAGGATCGCTATCCTGTGCAGCACAAATGGTCCTACCTTCTCCTTAGCATCCCTCATGTTTCTGAGCTTCATTAACTCCATGCACAGGCTGCTCATTTTCTTTGGCACACCATCTTCAGACAGCTTGTTAGAGAAGAATATAAAATTACTAAGCATAACTCCTCCATATGAATTGCTCTTCAGGAAATCCTTTCAAAGTCCTCCCCTCCCACTCAAAGTGCACAAGATCCCAAACCAGACATGCTCCATCCCTGTGCCAATGAAGGGGGCACAGGGAATGGCAAAACAGATGTTGATCAGCAGCTAAAGCTTCCTCTTGCACAAGGAGCTCAATAACAGCAAAGGAAAAGCAAATATACACTTATTTGTCTGAATACCTTTGACTTCAGTAGTTCATTGCTTCTTTTTAATTCCAGAAGTTGCCTTTTTAGGGATGCAACAGTTGCTGAAAGAGATGTTTTCTCCTGAACTGCAGCACTCAGCTTTGCTTCAATCTTCACAAAATCCTCATCCAGAGCCTGAAGTTTTTTATCCTGCTCTCCACGCTCTCTCACTAATGCCCGAATCTAAAACAAAAAAAGAGTTATTTTCTTTATTTCCTACTATCATTTCTCTTAAACATCATTAATTTAGTCCCTCCAAGAAAACCACAGCCATAAGTATCCAAACTGTATTAACTTGCATTCAGAATATCTTTAACTCTGTCATGCACAGGAAAGAGGTAATAGAGAACAGTGGTGATTCTGTTATTGCACATCATATTTACCATCCCAGTACAGTGTGTTAGTTAAAATAGTCTTAGCTTTAATTCGCAAGAGAAGCCAACTCTCCTCTTCAGCTGTGATGCCTAAAATGGAAGAAAAATTCTCCAAACAATATTAGTATAGATAAGACAGAAAGCAGCTCAAGAATGAAGGCCTTCAGGTGCACCCAATACACAGGCACACACTTGCATATAGAATTCTTACACTTTTATCTTTAACTAATTAACATATCTAGTGGGGATAACCAACCAAAAACCTCTTTCACCCTGGAACCACCCTCAGAACTGCCCCACTGGAGCCCCTCCAAGGGCCTCGTATCTTGTTGTCTATTCCAGTCCAGATGCACATCCCAGCGGAATGTCCTTGCTAAAATCTATTACCTTGAAAAGACAGTTAAAGCAAAGCTTCAGGAATGAGATTCAGACTGTGAGAAAGTAACAGTCTAAAGTGAGAGAAAACTACACAGCTCCACTGAAATCTGCAAAAAGCTAAAAATCTTTAGGCATCAGCTGTGACAGACAAGAAGACGATGTGACATCTGAGGCACAAGGCATCAATTAGTATGCGGAAATGTACTGATACAGTGTAAGCTGCCTCCTAAACATTAAAATTATAACAATTAGTAAGCAAAAATCTCAGCTAGCAGTTGTTAAATAGAACCTTCCAGGGTACTGAACATAGGACTCAGTTCTCCTGAGAAGACTGCCAGCACAGCTGTTCTTAGCAAACCCAATGCTTTGTACATCCCATAACATCTGATAATCTCTGCTCTGCACAGGGCTGTTTGCAAGCTACTTGTATGTTCTCCTATGCAAGAGGCCAGTTCTACCAGCTTGTATTTTTTATTTTGGTTAGTGGCAGATATGACAGGAATACACTCCATAACACATTCATACCTCCTTCTCCAGTGCCTTCTGTTTCTTTTTCTCCCTCATAAGCGTAAGATCTTTTTTGGTCTTCACAGTCCCATTACCTGGCTTTGGAAACCACTTGTGTTAGAAATAGTTCAATTGACCTCTAGCTGCATATCAGCTGAAGAACACAGCTAAATGTAAGATTGAGTGCCTTCATATAAAGATAAACATAAAATAAAAAGCAAGCCTTTCTCTCCCCCACACAGCACAGAAAAGTATCAGGTTAGGATGGGGTTTACCACTGTACTTTGCCATAAGCATCACTCTGAAGGAACAGCTCACAACAATCACAACAGGAAGTTGGAGACATTAACACTCCCTAAACTTAATAAAAAAAAACACTTTAATCTTTTAAGCACAGGTTTGTTTGCAGAATTTCATCCTAAATCATCAGTAGTAGTGCACTAAATTAGTAAGTCAGGACTATCATTTTTTCAGCTTGTTCAGCCATGCATCTTCATGTCTTGGTCATGGCATTGAGAACCTGTTCATGCAGTACCATCCTCTCCTTGTTTCTTGCACCACCAGGATTCTACTCTGCCCTGTCCACCCCATGAAAGCAGGAACAGAAACAGTCTTCTTAAAAAGGAGCAGCCACACCATAATTACATGGTGAGCAAAGGAAAAGAAATCCAAATACTGTAACACCAAAGATAAGGCACTTTGTAACCCCAAGTAACCATCACGACGCCCAAAGATGCTGCATTTTCATTTTTCCTGCTTAGTTATTACAGAATACAGGGACAACAATGTGTTCCATGGTTCTCTGGGGCAGGTTAACAGTAACTGTATGAAGAGGCTACATGGTTTAACCACGCAGAGGTTTAGCTGGGAGTGCGCTACAGACATCATAGAAGAGTCTTACTGTTGATCCAAGGGACATCAATCTCCTTTTCATTACAGGGGTGGGTGCACTCTTCTCGCTGCTCAGATTTGAGTCACCTGCAGAAAAGAATGGTGAGGGAAGAGGTTGCACAAATGCACACAAGAAGGGAAACTTAAGCAAACCAGATGAGGTTAACTCTGTACAGAAGACACCACCTGGTTATTAGACTACCCACTTCAAACCAGCTGTTTTTTTTCCTGCAATCAGGCAGTTCAATGTTAGTCATCTGGGCCCTTGACAAAGTTTAGAGAGAGATGACCAGATGACAGCCAGATCTGAGAATTCAGCTTCTGCCAAGCTCTCCCCACCACAATCCAGATCCATGGTGTCTGTTTTCAACTGAGGGATGCTTTATATATTAAAACCCCCATGCAAACATCCCTAAAATCAAGGTTAATTAAGTAAAAAAGTAGAGCTATTTTTAGCAGATGCAGCTAGACGTGTTTTCACAGGTGCTGTTCCCTTGAGCTGGAAGGCAGGCAGTGAGTCCCTGCAGCAGAGACCAACTTCTTAACAGCAGAGCAGTAACAGCACATCAGCACTGACAATTGTAGCATTCAAAGATACCACACCACAGCGTTCTGTGCAATTTTTACAACTACTCACTCTTGTGTCTCCCAGCCCCTTGGCATGCTTCAGAGGGCAGCAAGCTTCTCCCTCCACCTGATGGTTTGACATCACAGGGTCCTTGCAGGGGGGTACATGCTAGAAATGAGATTTTCAGACACGCAAAGAACCACGAAGGTAAATGACAGGGTTTTTAACTTTAACGAGTTGAGGTTGGTAACACATTTTAACTTAACACACTTAAGAAAAAAAAAAAAAAAAGGAAAAGAAAAAACCCCAAACAACTCGAGTCTCAGTTCTCATCCTCCCCATAAACACAAAGAAAATAAATGGTCATATGGTGGGGGAAAGAGTTTGTTTATCACACTGCTGGCAAAATTACAAACTTATTTACACACACAACATTGCAAAGCATTTTATTGGTGACAGCAGCACATTAACTTGCACAACAAAAAAACCCAAAGGATCTTAATGCCAACTGGGTAAAAAGCCAGCCTGAAGTGTTAAATAGAAAGCAAACTTCACTTGCTTTTTTAATATTCATTTTCCAATTTAGAAGATACTACTTAAATATTAGTGAATGCCTTTTCCTTCAAATAACTAAGTCGCTTAAACTTTTATAAAAAAACCTAAGTGTTTGAGGGTTTTTTTTAGAAATTAAACAATTTTAAGGGAAACAGGCAGCAGAAACATGATGGCTACAAGCCGTTTATTGGATTATTAGTCTGAAGTCCAGTAAATGCTTATCTACTCCCTTCGACTTTCTGCAAATAAAAGCATCTTCGTTTAACACGGGAATAGGTGACGGCAGCAGAGAAGCACCAAGTAAAGCAAAAAACTCGTTGAGAAAGTCGTCCATCACAAAACACCCCCAAGAGCAGTACTTCAGCCGTGACAATCCCTGTTACGCGTCCCTTACCGTGCTGTACCACGGAACCAGAGGACACCAAGGGCCAGCACGGCTTTAATCAGTGCACACATTACGCACGTTCACTGCTGTATTTGTCTAGCAACAGCCAAGGTCGGACGCGAATTCGGGATCTTTTCCCCTCAGGAGACACTTGCGAGGGCTCAGGGGGTCCTGAAGCGCCACGCTACGGGCGGCTGCGGCAGAGAGTGACACGCTAGGGCTCGGTTCCCGCTCCCTCGCGCAAGGCTGAGGCGCTCGGTCCCCATTCCCCCAGCCATGGCTGAAGGGCCCCGTTCCCCACCCAGGCCCCGCTCTCCCCGTACCGGCACTCCGGTGTCGGCGGTCCGCGGGCGGCGCGGACGCCATGGCTGCTGCGGGGCACAGCTCCCCGGCCCCGGCCTTTCAAAGGGGCCCAACGGCCGCAGCGCGCGCCCTCCGGCCAATCACCGCCCGCCGTCCCGCGCGTCTCAGCCAATCGGCTCGAGGTGGCGGGGCGCGTGCGCGGGGCGGGGCGGGGGCCGTGCGGCGCTGAGGGCGGCGGTGGCTGCGGGGCCGGGCCGGGCCGTGCCGAGCCGTGCCCCATGTCGGCCCCGTTCGAGGAGCGCAGCGGGGTGGTGCCCTGCGGCACGCCGTGGGGCCGCTGGTACCAGACGCTGGAGGAGGTGTTCATCGAGGTGCGCGTCCCGCCGGGCACCCGCGCCAAGGACGTGCGGTGCAGCCTGGGCAGCCGCGACATCGCGCTGGCCGTGTGCGGGCAGGAGCTGCTGCAGGTACCGCCGGACAGCGCCGAGAGGGGCGGGCCGGGGCGGGGGCAGGGCCGGGGCGGGGGCCGCGGGGCGCTGGGGGATCACAGAGTGACAGCATCATCATCGAGTCCAGCCCGTGACCCAACAGCACCTCGTGGCGCCGAGAGCCACGTCCAGTCCTTCCCTGGGCACCTCCGGGCACGGTGACTCCACCTCCTGCCTGGGCAGCCCCTTCCAGTGTCTTATCATCCTTTCTGTGAAGAAATTCCTCCTAAAGTCCAACTACGTCCTCATGTCCTGTCCCTCGTTGCCTGGGAGGTTTTCACACCTGTGCCCCGTGGCTCCTCCCTGTTGGTCCTTAGAGATCTAGGATTTGATACATTAAAAGGAATCACGTAACTGGTGAAGATTTCAGTGATCTCTTCAGTGGATTGTTGTCAAAAGTAATTATTTCAGTGAAGAGAAAGGTTTCTTCCAGCAGAATGAAGATAAGGTTTTACCAGCTGATTTATGAGCTGCATTAACCTTATAATATACTAAGGGACAAACTATAGAGAAAGGTGCATATAAGAGCTAACATCTTTAAGCAGAATGTTTGGATTGAGTGGGTTTTTTTCTTGTTAGAAACAGTATAGTAAACTAGTCAGTTATAAGTTTATTAGAAACAGTTTTGTCCAGCTGCAGGTTTTTTTCAGATGGTACCTGTGCTCCAGTAGCTGAAGGGAGCCAAAAAGAGAGCTAGAGAGGGACTTTTTACAGGGCCATGTAGTGAGAGGTCAAGGGGGAATGGCTTCAAACTGAGAGAGGACAAGGTTAGATTGGATATTAGGAAGAAATTCCTCCCTATGAGGATGGTGAGGCCCTGGCACAGGTTTCCCAGAGAACCTGCGGTAGGGACGTGGGCAGTGTTTCAGTTCTGATTGCTCCAGGAAGCCAAAAAAAAAAAAAAAAAAAAAACACAGAGGCAGATTTACTTCCACATTGGTAAGAAACAGTTCATCCTGTTAGTATGTACTGTATGTACCCTGCACCAGACCTTGGCACAAACCCTGACATTTTCATGGCAAGATTACTAAAAATGGCATTACCTGCTGAGAAACAGAAGCCTGTTCAATAAATCCAGATACTGCAACAGTGATGGGTATTAAATGATTCATTTTTAAAAATTGCTTAACAAACAATAATTCTGTAACAGTCTGCGTGCAAGTCTAGACTTGTAGGGCCAGATCACCCTATTCGTTTTCAGCAGAAAACAAGATGGTAAGTTGTGAGTAAAACTTCATGATTCAATATAACTGGATGCTGCTGAGGTTTTCCTGGTTTGTAATACTGTGCTGTCTTTTGCAGGGTAAACTTTTTGACTCTACAGTTACTGATGAAGGCACATGGACATTAGGTAATAACCTGCATCTAAAATGACATAAAGGCAGTAGAACTTCTCAATATATGCTGCAGAAGAGTTTACACACACACACCCCCATTTTTAATGGGAAAGATTGTTCCCTGTAAATAGCTTTGTAAAAAGCAACTTCATTATCGCTGGATTAAGGAACTGAGGTACTATAAAAGCCCTAGAGATTAAGGTTAATGGGAAAATGCCATATCCTGGAAGGCCATAGTCAGTGGATTACAAACACTTGCATATAGGAATGGGTGACAAAATCTGCGGTCCCAGAGAATCAAAAAGAAATTTAAAAATCCCACTAAGGTAGCTATATATAATTAGCAAAAAAAAGCGTATATGATTTTTATATTATAAATACTGTAAAATATTCAGCATATTTTGGGTTTTGGCAATCATATTCATGGACTGTACCTCTCACTTCATGTTTCCTATGAAGATTTTTGTTTTCCATTCAAGATTTGTTCTAAATATAGATTAATAATTTAGTAACTTAAACATGAAAACTAACCTCAAATCCTTCATTATTGCCTTAGCACAGGTGTCTGTATTAAGGGATGAAATCTTTTCTCTGTTGTGAACCTCTCCAAGAGGTTAGTTTATGTTTGCAGTAGAAGTTCTTACGCACTGTGTTTTAATGCCTTCAAACAACTTCAGGCCAGAAAGGGGAGAGATGACAGTGCAGGCCAGCTTTGCTGCAGCCTTTTTGCTTTTTGTTAATGTTTATTTATTTATCAATAACCCAGTTGGCATTGACATTAAGAATTTAAATGACTTCACACACCCTGTGCTTGTTAATGGTGAATTCACCAAAACAATAAGACTGGCACAGGGGACTGAGTCTAAAGGTTGCTCTCTGTGTTTTCATTCAACAGAAGACAGGCAGCTGATAAGGATTGTTCTAATGAAGACAAATAGAGATGCTGGAAACTGTTGGACATCTCTGTTAGAAAATGAATACGCTGCTGATCCCTGGGTACAGGACCAGATGCAGAGGAAGCTCACACTGGAGCGATTCCAGAGAGAGGCAAGTTAAAGGACCATAAACTCCTTACAGTTTGTGTTTGGACACAAAGGTCACGGCCAGGAAAGCTGAGCACAATGGTTCTGCTGCCCAGTGCCATGGAAATATATGCTTTAGTTCAATATATAAAAAATGCTTAATGCTTTATCACTGTACTTTCAAAAGGTTATTCTGCAGTGCCATGACAGACAGATGACAAGTTGGTTATTAGATGTCTTTGTTACAGTGGTAGAATATTACCAAAGTGGTTTAGGCTTTTTGTTGGTTGGTTGGTTGGGTTTAAGGTTTTTTAAGCATTTTTATTACAAATAATCTATTAATTGAACAATTTTTTTTCCTTTTACCTCCATCAGAACCCTGGATTTGACTTTAGTGGGGCAGAAATTTCTGGGAACTACAGCAAAGGAGGACCAGACTTTTCTAGTCTTGAAAAGTAAACTTTTTATCTGCGTTCTTTTAGAGGAATTACGTGTTACAGTTAAGGACTGGAATCATGTAACTGGTGAAGACTTCAGTGATCTCTTCAATGGATTGTTGTCAAAAGTAATCACTTCAGTGAACAGAAAGGTCTCTTCCAGCAGAATGAAGATAAAATGTTACCAGCTGATTTATAAGCTGCAATAACCTTATAATACTAAGGGACAAATCATAGAGAAAGGTGTACATAAAAAACTAACATCTTTGAGCAGAATGTTTGGTTTGGGTATTTTTTTCTTATTAGAAACACCATAGTAAACTAATCATTTATAAATCTACCACTTGTCTTTATACACATCTTTTTCTTGCTTACCTACACCTGAGGAGAAACAGCCCCAGGCACCACCACAGGCTGGGGCTGATCTGCTGGAGAGCAGCTCTGCAGAGAAGGCCCTGGGGGTCCTGGTGGACAAGCTGTCCCTGAGCCAGCACTGTGTCCTGGGGGACAAGAAGGGATGCATTGGGAAGAGCACTGCCAGCAGGTCAGGGGGGTGATCCTGCCCTGGTGAGGCACATCTGCAGTGCTGTGTCCAGTTCTGGGCTCCTCAGGACAAGAGAAAGCTCCTGGAGCGGGTCCAGCAGAGGCTGCAGTGATGATGAAGGGACTGGAGCATCTCCCTAATGAGGAAAGGCTGAGGGAGCTGGGGCTGTTCAGCCTCGAGAGGAGACACTGAGAAGGGACCTCATCCGTGTCTGTCAGAGGATGGACCAGCTCGGGGGTGCCCAGCAATGGGACAAGAGGAACTAGCAGGAACTGATGCCCAGGAAGCTCCACCTGAACATGAGGAAGAACTTCATGCCTGTGCAGTGACCAAGCACTGAAACAGATTGCCCAGATTGGGTGTGGAGTCTCCCTCACTGGAGATATTCCAAAGCCATCTGGACACAATCCTGTGCTATGTGCTCTGGGATGACACTGCTTGAGCAGGGAGGTGGGACCAGATTGCCCCACAGTGGTCCAGCCTTACCTATTCTGTGATTCACTGTTGAAGAACAGCTGTTATAGTTAATATTTTCTCTTAACTTGTAACAGGAAGGATATTAGGATGGCTACAATTAAACTTTCCCTTTGTAGCAGCCCTCTGAGAACTTGTAATGTCATTCTAAAAAGCGATTTAAATCACCTACTGGAAAACCTTACTTGAGGCAAGATACAATGTGCTGTCAAATATAGAACTAATTATTAATGCTTGCTACCAGGTAAGCAGTGCTAGAAAACTGAAAGGCCAGGTGAAAATCTGAATATTGATAATTTTATGTGTTAATGTAATATAGTCTCCCCCATACAAATATTCAAGATTTTAAAAGTAAGAGAATATAAAGACTTTTCAAAGGAATCAGAAGGAGTTCCTAAGTAGGAAATGGTATCTTGCATCTATTCATTGCCAACATAGAGTGTAAATTGTTGACAGTGTATCTAGAAAGCCATACATTTTTATATATAGTTTCAAGTTGAATAGCCACATTGTAAACTCAGCTATTATTTTATACAACATTTTGCATGTGCCAATCAGGAATTTTGTCCTCACCTTTAAGAACACAGCCCTGAAGCATTTCAACCACTTGGAATGATATGTACTATTAGATAAATGATGGAAGAGCTGAAGTCAAATTTGAACAATCTAAGCTACTTAACTCAGTCTTTTCAGTCTTGACCCATTCACTTCTCCAGGGATTTAGAGTAACTGTGGGCCAAGTTGAAAAAATTGTAACCAAGCACCTTGAGTTTCTCCTGTGGTTGTCCAGCCCTTTCCACTCAGCCACAACCTCTTAAAAAAACAACCAAACTGAAAAAACTTCTCCATAATGCCTTACCTCCTGCCTGGAAATTTTCCTTCAGGTACTGTTCAGGTGTAAGTCACTTTATAGGCTTCCTGCTAAGATGTTTTATAACAAGAAAGAAAAAAGCTGCTTGGTTAAGCGCATTTCAATGTTTAATTGAAAGGTACATATCTTAATATTGAGACAGGACAATGAGAATTGTATCCTCTCCCAGTAGGCCGAGCACACCTTTGTCCAAATCCCTGGTTTGCTTTGCACAGGCCAGGACAATGCCCAAGGAGCTCTGGCAGGTGCAATACCCAATTACATGGTACATGAGCAGTCACTCCCACAAGCCTGTGATTTGTCCAGGGCAGAGCTTTGGTATGGAGTCTTCTGTGAAAGGTTTAACTGGTTTGAATGGTTTCCCCCTCAGCTGTTTCCATAATGGGGAAGGCTTGGCTGGCTAACTCTTAAGCCCACACTCTGATCTCTCCTTCTCTCCACTACACTGGTCCATATAACAATCAGTTTTCACAGCCTGTTGCTAACATCCTCCATCCCACAGTGATGCAGAATTCAAGAGGACATTAGCAACATTCCCCCAGCACCTCTAGTCATCTAACATACAATAATACATTCTTATTATTCACTTCCTTGATAGCACTAGAATCATGATATGCTTCAGGTACTGATCTGGTCTGCAGAATAAAACAGTTGTATTTTACCCAGGTTACCATTAGAGATCAGAGTTAAAGCAATCTTCAGTGTTTCTCAACCAGATTGCTCCTACACACACAGGCCAAGATGGGGAATTAGCCCTGCTCCTACTGTGCCTGTGACAATGTGCCAGTTCAGCATCAGCATTTACCTCTAGTACAGCAAAACTCTGCAAAACTAATGTCAGATCTAAGGCATGTAAACCAGTACTTTCCCTTGCCCTCCATTAGGCATCACAAAGTTTTTACACTCTGTGAACTAATTCCTGTTTGTAATCTCAGTAAACTACAGCTCTCACAAAACACTGCAGTTCCTGATGCTGTGTTAGTGACTGCCTTTTACAAGGAAATGCATTAAACTTTCTCTTTCCTCCTGCTCTAGCTACTCACCACATTCAGTGGGTATCACAAAGGCTAATTTTTAATGTGTCTGTGGTAGAAGGCCAGTAGTGCCCTGCTCAGCAGGGACACGTGTACACGTGACACTGCCCAAACATCATATCTGGTGGGCTGACAGGAATTTGCTATTGTCAGCAGCAGTGAGTGGGATTAGTCTGCTGTTTGATTAACACACTGCAGCACTGCACATCTTTCTAGTATTACATAATCCTCAGAAAGTGAACCAGATTTTTAAAATTAAATACGTAATTCAGCACCTGCAGTTACAGTAAACCAAGGTTAGATTACACGAGCTGCTCTACAAACTGTAAGGTGTTAAAATTCCTTGTATTGTGGTGTTTCACTGAGTAGTGAACAGTCTGCCAAATAAGACTGAAAAGTGACACCACCTTCTGTTGTAATCATCATGAAAAGAACATATTTGCTGGGAGGATCTTTAATCTGAAATGTTACGTGTTCTTTCCATGAGTTGGGTTCTTCATTTTTGAGATCGCGGTTCAGACTTTGTTTCTCAAGTATTCATGTGCCTGTTGACAAGGTCACAGGATGTGTTTTTCCTCATTTTATTGTACTCCTGTAAAAACAAACAAACAAACAAACAAACCAGTCAACTGAAGCGCTTTCTACAAGAGCCAAACAAAACATGAGATCTTAATGCAGCAAGACAACAGCAAGATAGCAGGAAAGGTGTAGCCTCTGGAATTAAAGTCCAGGTAAGGAAGTAGTTCACAGTTTCTACAGAGCAAAACAGCAGTAACATGACTGACTGAATTACAGATTCTAGACTTTACTGAACAGTTATACCAGTAACATGGTATAAAACTGTCTTCCTTGTAAGTGGTTTAAGTGAACAATTACAAGAAACTCGTTCTAACAGGCTGATTTTACTTTTTTTTTTTCTTAAGAAGAGGAGCAATTTTTTTCTCTGCCTTTTTACCAGCTTTACTCCAAATTGTAGTTTGAACGAGATCCCAACGTCCACAGAACATTTCTGCTCCCACAGCACGCCAGAGGATCAGTTCTCCAGTGTTCATATATTAGGTTGTCACTTCTTTAGGTACAGCAGTGGCTCAAGCACGAACACGAGAACAGACCTGCCTCTAAGACAGGCCTACTGTGTTTAAGTTACATATTTTCCATGAGGTAACCTACATGGAATTAGAAACTTTGAGGCAGTTAACAGCTAATTACTTCCACATTATCAGAAGTTGATTTCAAGGAGTTACCTGTTATGAGCTGGTCTCTGGAATGGTAGGAAGGTGTGTTATTCTGTAGTAGCTGTGTTTGAGCTGCCGTGCTGTACGTCCGGACACAATCCACTTTAATTTCTGGACATTTGGTTTGGAACACTTGCTCGAGGAATATTCTGTAAGGCACTTTAATACCAGTTCCTTCCAGAAGGTCAAATCTCTGTTGTTTATCTAAACAGCAAGACAGAAAATATTCTGTCATTAATAACTAGTTAAATCATTATTTCATACATGTACTTCCAGCTTTTTCACCTAAAATAGGCTGCCCAATATCCCAGGCCAAATGGGGAAAAACCCAACAAAAGAACACAAGAAAGCCACGAAAGAAACCAGCATGGCAAGGCACCTGCCCCTTCCCCACTGTGTAGACCCTTGCATGCATTTTAATTCTGTCCTCCTCTGAAACTTTGTGTGTACATACCTTGGAATGCAACTGCAGAAATTCCAATGCCTCTGTCAACTCCAGCAGCTTTTGTTCTTCTATCTCTAGTGCCAGAATAGACAGTGCCAAGACAGAAGGCTGGAGAGAGAGAGAGAGAAAATGTTTTTGAACACTGCGTTGTTAAGTTTCACTAGTTTCATTGTCTTTGAACTTTTAAGATGCTTACCTTGGCTTTAGAAAACATGATTCTGCAGTGACAGGCCTTGAGTTGAGTCTCAAGTCTCTCAAAATTAAGGTACTTTCTTCTAGAAAAAAAGCAGATGAGTGAATGTAGAGAATGAAAGCTTGATCACAGCAGCATCACCCTGGGAACTCAGAGAGGCAGCAACAATGTTCGTTATCTAAACAAAGGCCTTGTTTGTCCCAAAAGTTCTAGGGTTACAGTCAAACAGGTGTTCAGCTTTGGCAGTCCTGGTGCCAAAAATAAATCTTGTATTACGCTGGGGAGAGTTGCATTGTCAAAACAGGCTTAACAACAGGGAATTTTAGTGATTACTAGCAAAAGGAATCTTTTTTAAGCCAGATTTTGCAATCTCTGCAATGAGGCAATACTTCAGTGCCGCATAAGCAGAGATTCATTATACCATCATTACTGAGCAAGTCTGGTTTTCAGCTCAGAGAGCAATACTCTTTAGATCAATTT